ATCGGTGGACCATCTTTCGAACTTAAACCGCTTAAGTTCCGTGGGTTGCCTCCTGTTTCTCCAGGTTGGGGGTTGGAGTGAGGGTGGCTCCTTATTCTTTAAAACGGACTCGTTGTAGCCCACTACCAAATCCGTTGTCTTGCGGTCAAGTTTTTGAACTCGAGACTTTGGTTGAGAATCCTAATTTTTCACCTGTCTAGGCCTTATCAAACTGACAGTATCCTGCCCACGCAGTACAATGACTACCTTGAAACCATTTCTAGTTGCTCTGATTGTCGCAGAGGATAATCAGCGGTGTTTTATCTGCTGCATCGAGAGGGTGGCTAGAGGTTTGGATGCCACTGCTCAAACCTTCCTGTTTTCTTATTCCTCCTCTTACGCTTTTTCACCTTAGTCGCACCTTTCCAACTTCACTTTCCTCCCCCACCGTTTTGAACCCCCTCCCAATTTTTGGCCCTTCTTCCACCTTGCTTTGATAGGCGTTTATTTTCTAATTTCGACGCATACAAATGCGGAGCGTAACACTTGCCTTATCGATAAGCCTATGTCTAACCAAGCGGTCAAATCCAGTTCATAGGCTTCTATTTGGAGCCCTTGATCCTCTCTCAGATTGGCATGTCTCAACGTACGCACATTGCCACAGACAGCACGTGTGCAATCATTAGAGACCCTCTCGATGGATAATTGCTTCTTATCGGAAACCCGCCTGCAAGACTCGAGCTCTGTGCTCGCTTTGCGATCCCCTTCAAGTGACACCTGCAATGCTTTCTCATTGCGCCTATCCGGAGACGATGCAGCTTAGAGTGCCGATCAAGCCGGTGTGGGTATTGCCCTGAGTCCCTGGGCTGACGCTACTCTGGTCGTTTGCATCCCAATCAGTAGCCGGATGTGTGCCGTTCAACTGGCTGGCGCGTTCAAAGCTTGGAAGTCGCGCGGGACCATTAGGTGTCTGTTTGTCATCTCTGCCTACGTGCCCACATACCATAGCGATGATTCGGTAAAAGACGATTTCTATCGTGAACTGAACGAGCTCCTTCGTCACAGAAGTAGCACAGACACTGTAGTGCTGACTGGAATCTGAACGCTCAACTTGGGAAATTGTCTACTTATGAGCTGCATCTGGGCGGCCAACACGGTGTAGGCTCTCGTAATGATAACGGTGAGCGATATCTTCATTTACATGAAGATGCCCGCTTATTTCTCCCGAGCCCTAACTTCTGACACAGCACCCGCCGGAGTGTGACATGGCGCCCGCAAGTCTTGGACGCAAATCGATCACATTGCGATCAGTTACCGCTGGCGGGGTTGCGTCCAAAACTGTCGTTCGATTTGGAACACTTGTGTGGACACTGACCATGCACTTGTATGTCTTGATCTGCCAGTGCGTTTTGGCGGATGACACTATGAGGACATGGACACCAGCCAACTGGCGGAAGCATTTGTTCTGAATGCGTATCGAAGTACGCCGGCATTCGGATTTGGTAAGCGATCACTGAATACAGTTGTAGGTCAGTGGTCGTATGTTCACCAAATCTTACTAGCAGCAGGAAAGCCCTCATATAGTAAGTCTAACCGCCAACATGGACATTGGGTCTTTTCGAAGTCGCTAGAACTTATCGATGCTCGCCGCCAAATTCCGGCTGGAAGCGAACACAACGAGACTCGCGAAGACCAGAGGTCAAAACTCCGTTCTAGCCTGAAGAAAGACCACGAATGGTGGTGGTCTCATCGTGCATCAGAGATCAGAACGACCCCTGCCCTTGGTAACCATCGTAAGTTATTCCGTTTGACACGGGAAACGGGCAGCAGGAGACGTGGTGTTGATGAAACTATTTATTGCGAGAGTGGACAGTCTTCCACAATTTGAGAAAGCGTTTGGAGCGTTGGGCTGACACTTTGAAAGGCAATTTAATCTGCCGGAATTGTCAGATTTCTCGCCGTCACTGAATACTGTGTTATGGAGCAAGTAGAAATGACTTCAGTACAACTCTTTCGAAATATGGTGCAAAACGTTACAGAAATTGTCAGCCGTGAATATCATTATCGTTCTTATGTAACGTTTAAAATATTTGACTCACGGTATTGCACCATTCACAAATATGACATGCCATCGTAATTGTGGAATCGTTCTCTGAATCGAATAGTGTTAAAATTTAAATCTAAAAATCTTTTGAACTGCTGCACAGATGTTGTCACCATCACTGATCGCCCTGCTCCCTGGACTATCTCTTTGGATCCGCCCTCTCGCTCGGAAGTCGGATGTGAGATCGGTCTACTGAAGTTGCATGCAGCCGTGCGACCCGATGCTCTTCATCCAGTCCTTTTCAAATTCGGCGGCTTGCTCTTGTTGATGATTTGCACGAATTACTAGTGAAACTGTGGGAGCAAGATACTGTCCCAATTGACTGGGGCCGCTCCGTCATGGTCCTAATTTTGAAAGGAGGCTCACGACCGGAATGCCGCAACCATCAGTCTGGTCTCCATCGCTTCCAAATTGCTTGCTCCTGTTTTTCTTCACAGACTGACTGGTACTCCTGAAAGGCAGGTTCGTGAGGAGCAAGCCGGGTTTCCTCGAAGTCGGGGCTGCATAAACCTCATGTTCACTTTCCCTCAATTGTTGGAGCATCGTCACATATATTGGCTGCCCACTGTTATCGTGTTCCTCGATATTAAAGGTGCCTTCGATTCGGTGAATCGACGTGCCCTTTGGGACTGTCTACTCAGGAAAAGTGTGCCTGGCAATTATGTAAACATTATCCGATCGTTTTCCGCGCGTAGCTGGGGCAGAGTGAGGACTTACGGCAAACTGTCGCTGCCCTTTAATATCTCCAGTGGTGTAAGACAAGGATACCCGCTGTTACCTTTCCTCAGTAACTTCGCTATTGACAAGGTCATGGAGATTGCGTTCGCACTACACGAGTGGAGGTGCTCCCAGGTAAACAACTTCTTGACTTGGAGTTTGCCGACGACATTGCCCCCATCTGTCACAGCTCACAAACGTGCCGAGCTGCACTGGACAGATTGGCTCTGGCTGTCAGCCGTTTCGCGCTTTGCTTTCCTCCCTTACAGTGCAAAGCTTTCCTCCGAAATTGGCAGAAACCGCCTCATGGGCTGACACTTTGTGGGGATTAGCTAGAAGTCGTTCAGAAGTTCAACTGCACAGGTATTTGTATCATCGCCCGTGGAATCGAAATGAATGTCGCAAACCACATTGCAAAAACTCGAGGCGGTTTGCTAACAGCTCAGCACCGTTATTTCACGCACCGTGCTCCGATGGCTGGGCCGACTCCCGCAACGTGCGTTGTTTTCGCGCCAGGGGTGCGGATGGAAAGGAGGATGGGAGGCCAAGCGATGACTCATTCAAGAGTAATGAAGACCCTTACTTCGATGTTGGACTCGGTTGAAGCCCCTCGGCTCCCTGGTTGGGGTCCGTAGGACGGTGAAGACATTTGGCTGGCTACGTTTGCTGACTTGACTAGAAGCCGACTTTATTGGCATTTGTGTTGTATGTTTCTTTGTCTCCCTCCTCCCTCTTAGCTTCCCTCTCCAACCACGATCTCACTTCATAGCGTATTATAGATTTTGCATAATATAATTTTTTGCGATGCAAAACCGGGTGGTAGCTTTCCGGAACGATGCTTATCCGTTATTGGTGGCTCAGCTGTTGTGCCTCGGTTGCTGGTTTTTCTTATATATTGCGACACAATGGCTGAGGTGTTTTTCACATCTACCTAATGTGTGTAATGATTAATGTTGATGAACTTTTCTGCTACTTCATAACTTCCGACCTCTGCTTCAGCTAAACATTGGTCTAACTCATGGTCAGTTTAGCTGTTCCACTGGGTTACGCTCCTCCCAATCGCCAGTGAAATTTCTCGGGTTCTTAGATTGTCTTCGTTGTGCCACCAAAACGCAGCTCTTTTACGCGGTCCTTTCCCACATTCTTTTCTTAGGGAAAAACCAAAAGCGGTCTCAATTTCTACACCGATGCTTTACTAGCAGAGTGTGGTTTATTCCATTCTACCAGTGACCCATTTTGCCTGGTTCTTTCCCCATTATTTTCTGTGACCGACTGCACTGATCCGAATTTACAACCGCACTTTTTCCCTAGGTAGTTCCACTTTCAATCTTAGCACACTTTACCTCGATTCGCATGCATCTTCTTCACACCGTTCTTGTTAGCTCTGAAATCATGGCAGCGACACATATAGTTGTGCCTGTTGACCTGAACTAACCATAAATCCTAGTGCTCTTGAACGCTTCGAGTGGGCGAATACCAGGCTCCTGGATTTGAACGCACCGGGTGCACCGGCGCACGCACTGCTACCAACAATAATTGATGCTTTTCTGGTATCTAGATACTTTACAGATGACTTATCGTTTGGAGCGATATTGGCATCCTCCGTCCGAAATTATCTTGTTTGTATTGTTAGAACATATGTGAGAAGACCATCACCGTGGTTAGGACTGGGACTGTCTAATTAGTGATATCCGTAAATGTTGTGCACGATGTTATGGCTGATTCTTTAATCTTTCTATTATCCTCCATATTCCTTTTTATGCTTTTATTGTGTTTTGAGCTAGTCACCCCCTCCGGAACTTCTAAGGTCATCAAACCGCAGACCGGGAGGTGTTTGTTTCTTGTCAGACTAATTCACTATTCGACAGTTATACAGCCTTTCTTCCCTGTTGATCAGGTTTTCTTACCGTGTTTTCGGCGAGTTTCGACAAGCTCTCACCATCGCTTGAATCCGCACTGCGTCCTTTAACTACACAATTTTCATCCCAGCAAATCGAAGTTTTCCCCGGTGTTGATATCAACCAGATTACAAACCCTGTCTATCCTTCCTTAATAGAAACATCTTATGACCCTCATGTGTAATGCATAATGTGCTTTAGTATGTATATTCCGTCGAATCGCATATGTTGCTTTTTTAACATCCTACCCAATCAAACACTGTTTTGCGGATGGTTGCCTCTTTTCTCTTCCCCCACTTCAGTTGGCTCTCGTCACAAAATGCCGCAGCATCTGGCCACCATAGAGAACTGCATGCACTTAGTCCCCATGCTAATTCAAGCGCTTTCGGACAGTGCCTCTCCCCTGCTACAACTACCGCATATCGGATCTTCCCAGCTTCGACACATGGCTGCCAAGCAAGTACGCCAGTGGTGTGGTACCAATTAACCGCACTTTTGTGAATCCTAAATGACTGCAAGCTTTGCCTCATTGATTTCATTAACCTGTTTAAGTCGTTCGACTGCATCGGTATTTTTCCCTTATGCTATTGTAAAAGCGTGTATGGCTGTACACTTGCATGTGGTGTGACCGGTCGACCCATGATTTAGCTTCGCTTGAACACCCATTTCTCCCTACTCCTGGCCAAAGTACCTCGGATTTATGCGCCTTCAAAAAGTGGTCCTTTTGTATTATCTGTGTTCTTCGCGACAAAACTCAGTCAGACAACCATAACCATTGTACTGGCGTATTGCGCATTCATTTCGTCTTATGTGAACATGCAGTCATCTGGGATACACTGATGACCGAAATGATTTCGCAAGCAGCTTTTCGTGAACTTGCACATTGTTGTCGTGCAGGGTGCATGGCAGAACCCGCGTGCAATGGCTTCCGAAACTTTACTTCCCACTTGACTTGTGGTTTTTAAGCAGTCTCGGCTGCATACTATTTATATGGTAGTGATAGGGAGGCTTTAGGTATTATAAGATGCTTACACCACATATAGACTCAGTCAAGCAGCTATCACACATCCGAAGAATCACTGAATAGCCATTCCATATTCTGTGATCCGTCAACATTGATCTTTACATATAGCTCGTGTGGGATCAGAACCCGCGGCTCTACTGTCTCTCACAAATCGTTAAACAAAACCACTGGCCCACGGTGGAAGGCAGTGGCCGACATGATTTCGTCTGGTCGTGATGAATTCAAATGTCACCAGCCAATTCACTATTGCTCAGGAATCATTGTGCTAATTTTAGCCTATTCATGACGGGATGATTATCATTGGCCCTATGATTTTTGAAATGCGATCTGTCGAACACTCGTACCAAATCGCGACTCCATGTGATCTTTTGCCTTTTTCTTTGTTTGATATCGACAACACTTTTCGTGGTTTTAACATAATATTTCTTCACTGGGACTATCCTCATCAGCAGACACTTCATGGTCACTGGAAAATTTTGGGGTAACCTGTGGGCTGCCTTGGTTTGAAAAATGCCCCACAACTCAATTCACTGACGATGCACATTGGCCCTTTTCCGAACCGATACTTTGTAAACTCTGTGATATCCTATCACTGGAAGCAATGAGGATTTCGGGTATACCTTTGAGGAGTGTGTATAGCATTTGCGTTTCTCAATTGTGTCCTTCCTTTTATATGTTGTCACTTCTCCTCCAATTATCCTTCAAATTACCTATGATGTAGTTACTTGAGATGAAAATCACAACCAGTGAACTCAGTCAGGTAGTCATTCTCAATCGCACTCCAGGTGGATTGGTTCCGGAATGGGAGCTGCACTGTCGCCTATTGGAACTACTTGTTTCATGTCCACGGTGCATATGTAGTGGTATTCATCTACAACATATATGTTAGTATTCTCTAACTTTTGCCAACAGTTATGGGGTTTTGTGAAACCCTAACCCACTGGTCAAGCATTGCCCGGGTGCTCCTGCGGACCGGATCGAACTCACTCTAACGGGCTCGAAGGCTCCGGTTCGTTCCAGCGATCATCGCGCTCCTACTTAATTTCCTTCTCTAGATTGCACACGATTTCTCTACGTTGGTTTGTCCGACAATGAGCGTTTGATCACGCTCCCGTTAATCCAACCTTCTTAGTGGACTCACATTCACCATATGACTAGTCCGGCAAATTCTGTTGCCTGCTGTTATCACTGTCAATTGGAACTAATTGTCCTGTGCTTACATAGCAGCCATGTCGATACCCCGAACTGATCAACACAGGGTGACATGAGAAGTTGGGTCCACAATTGACCATCCGGTATCTATAAAGGTTTTCTCCCATTTCAACCAACCATAATACGAATCTGTTCTTCATATGGTTGCTACGTTTTGTCCACTTGTACCTTTTCTGTATGTCGATTGAATGTTATTCCGTGTGTTCGGTTTTTGTGCATAACTACTGAGATTATTAAGAATTGCACTGTTTTGGAAAATATGTCTGTTTATATCCGATAGGGTTTAGTTGTTCTGGTGTGAGGACATCTCTCACTATTCCCCTCTTCTAGCTGTAGTATTTGCTCCCACTGCAAACACACGCTGGGACACCATCTGGACGCAACTGACTGTCCCCTTACTTTTTGCCCCTAGCGTAATATTAAATCTATCCGGCAATTAGTTCGGCTTCCTGACGACAAGCGAAGAAGTCTTCTCCGCAGTTTATCGGACGAGCAATACCGGGATGTTCTGAACGTTTGCGCTTCTATGCCTATTTTGGAGATAGGATATCGTTGTGAGGTGAGTTCACCTTAGTACCTGGCTGCTATCCTCAGTTTGCTCTCACTGTAGCACTTGGTGGAAGTTTTGTCTGCTGAAAGTTGACATAATTCTCTATCGGATTCTGCGGTATCATGTAACTTTTGTTCAATCTGTTCTGGTTACTACGCTTATGCTCCGGATATCAACTTTACACGGTGGTTGATGGCGATCGGGGGAAAGCAAAGTCATAGTTGTCTCGTGAAATTCTCTGGATTTCCCTTTCTTGTTCTCATTCCACCCATGAATTGTTGCACATGTTTTGCACCATTCTTCAACGGTTCTGACCGGGTTAAAAATGGGTTTTTTGCGATGTATAGTCGATATAGCGCACGCGTAACGTCACCGTTCTGTGCTGTAGCTGAATTGTTTACCATGCTATGTTACTGCTGGTCTCCCATTCGGAATAGCGGATCTCGGCGTTCCACGCCCCAGCTGTTTGATCAGGTTCAGTGAAATTTCAAATTTAACAATTCTGATGCCTATACCATGTCATTGGCTAATATTGCCTAGCCACATGAACGACAACAGTCGCGGTTTGTCACTAACAACCTCACGTCCATGCGGTATTCGACAGTCGCTGTTCGAACTATCCGTGTGCGACTTTAGAGAACTGGGTTCCACAGTTCAAAATGTCCGAACACCGTCTAATCGCCGTGTAGCAACTCCACAATGCGACGCCATACCATTGGTATGCATGCGCCCAATGATTCTCGATGGTAGCTTCATCCATCATTCCCACCCGCATCAAACAGTTTTTCATCACAAATCTATCCCCCAATTCACGATTTCCTCTCGTACCGCCACCGAACGTCACATTTCACAACAAACGCGTGTTGAAGCCCGCACGCGAACCACTAACTCGTTGGGTGTACAACTGGTCTGATTTTCTGAACGGCACTCAGCTGGACATGGGGCTTTTCACATTTTTCTTTTCAAAAAACAACTGTATGCACACACATCTTCCACGTGGTAAACAGAATAAAATTTAAAACAGTGAATACACAAGTAGGTTCATAAATGGCATAAGCGGCAATATGGTTACTATGCAAACTTATACTCTCAAGAGGTCTGATCTCACGGTAACGCACCAAATATGGCATTCCGAATGAGTGGTAGGCCCTTTTACTGGAATAAATGGATCTGTACTTTCGTCTGGTTGAGGGATTTGACATACCCTCAGACAATACACCATGAAGTGGCTGACTTGCATCGGTGCGTATTTTTGAAGCAAGCCTTCTGTATTAACTGATATGGGTAGATACAAGGTCAACCAAGTTGGACTTTGGAATGCCATAACATCGAGACGGTTGCGCCAATGACCTATCTAGGATTTTATAAATCGCTTCCTTAGGACACCGCGAGATGTCACAGGGGACCACTAAGTCTTGTGAGGTAAGAAACAAGCGGTGATACATTGCAGTATTAAGTACTGGAGGATCGCAGGCGAGCAGCGTAGCCTCATTACTTTTGTGCAAATATGATTCACATGGAGTGATCAAGAGAGGTGGTGGTTGCATGTGACACCTAGATTCTGAACCTAAACGGTGGCGTGCAACTTCTCACCATCTTTGTGAACTATAGGACATTCCACGAGTGATTGTTGATAACCACAGCCTTTGTGTTGGGACAGAATAACGTCATTACATTTTAATGCATTCAGTGGTAAAATGTGAGCTCTAAACCATAATGTAAGGTTTTCCGGATAGGTTTGCAATTTTCTTAATGATGTTGCCGTCGGATGTTGGGTATCCAAGATTACGTCGTCTACATATTGCTACAATATCGCTTCATCAAAGGCCGGTAATAAATCGACTTAAATAAAAAAGTGCTATTGAAACGGCATGGCACCTTGAAAAACACCGGTGATTAGGGCAAATAGCTAGAAACTTTAACCCTCAGATTGAATGAACTCGGCACGTCCATCGCAATAGTCCCTCATCATCATTATCATCATCCATACACATTAACTGAGGGTGGAAAACACCTCAGCTAATGTACCACAATACAAAAAGGACACTACCGAAAATTCAAAACGTAGGTGATATAATGTTAAACATTATATCACATATTAGATATGAGATTGTGATCGGAGGGAGGAATCTAAAGTGGAGGGATGGACAAACGAACTCACAACACGAACGCCGCTGGGGCCGGCTCTTCGCCTTATCAACAAGTGTGTTCAACCAAACGTGTCCATTGTTCTTGTGACCCCAGCCGGCAGTCAGAATGCAACAACCGTCACCTACTTCGAATTGAAATCCTTCATTCCCCCGTTGACCAATTAATTGCTTGGCCTCTGCTCATCTTCTCCCATCCACACACCCCTCAGCATTCAGACGGTTTAGACGACTGAATTCCGACACCATGTATTTCTCTCGATAGTAGATCAATATTTAAACTACTGAAGGCATTACTATAGTCGAGAAAACATATACACCGATTTGATCTCGTTGCCCAAGGATGCCTGCACTGAATGAACATGGTAGGTTATTGCGTCTTGAGTAGACTTCAAACTACATTGAGCAAACGAACGGATCGTATGAACGAGTCTGAGTCAGCATCTTTTCAAGATCTTCAAGTTTGCAGAAGTGGATGTCTTTTGCCGGTATTTATTTGAACCATCCTTTGACATTAGTGTATTTCTAGAACTTATCCAACCATCAACAATTTCACATCCTTCTATGCACTACATGTACAAGTCAGCAAGAAGTTGAGCCAAGAAACCGTCGCACACCTTGAGAACAACGCGGGATAGTCCGTCCGAGCCACTTGTTTTGTTGGAATTTAGCTGCAGCAGTTCATTGTGCACGGTATTACTGTCATTGGCAGGTTCTCAGGTTGTCGGCCTCCAATCGGCGGGAGGAAGTAGGATAAGAACTGGAGCTGGCATTGGAGCAACAAAAGTTGCCGTTCAATTCTTCAAGGTCCGCCAGATCTCTTGACAGCTACCATTTCCCAATATGGTCTGGACATATAGATGGTTTAGATGGCACAACTCTACCTTGATAGAATTAGAAAGCGATTTTACTGCAGCAGGGTCTTTACTTTTGAACGCTTTGAGTCTATACAAGCGTTTTAGAAATGGAGATGAGAACCGATCCGCACGGATGAAAGTGGTCTTCAGTAGATAGCAGGTATCGAAATAGAAGTTGAGGTAGCTCGCTAACTGGTCACAGTACGTAGATACTTCAATGTCAAAAGGTATGCTATAGTCTATGAGTGCAGTCATTTCCCTTAGTCGATATGTGTTCTAATGTGAACATTGTCTTCTTTTAAGTCTGCGATCATTACAGCGAGTAACCATATGATTTGCTTTGCTGTAGTCGACAAGTGTTAATAACCTTTGCGTGATCAGAATTACCAGTCGGTGCCAGATTGCAGACAAAATACAGCTTCGAATAGTTAACATATATTAGGTCTAGGGTTACTTCAAGTCTGGTGAGGGGATTTACAATACTTTGCAGCCAGAGATTTGTGACAATGGTAAGGCCAACTCTGTTGAAGTCATCAGCAAAAATGCGGAACAAATAATCAAGTTGGTCGATTACAGAGGTAGGACAGCTGGGGGAAATCTAGATATTTGCCAACAAAATTGATTGGTACTCACTTGGACATCTTGGCTAACATATCGAAAATAAGCAGTTATTACTTGGTGCATAAAAACGAAACAAACTTTTACATCATTTGATCTTGGAAAACCCATCGTGTGTCTGGATTGCAACACGCGATCTCGATTGCGGCTACAGTTTGCTTTGAAGCAAATCTATGCCATTTCGATCACAGGGACGGCATCCGAAATGGAGAGTTTCGGTGCTGCTTTCTCCCAACACTGCACTCCACGACTGACCGTTTTCGTCCTGATTTGGACTCGTCAAGTAAAGATAGCTTGAGCTATGAGGGGAGCCCAACACAGTGGTGGACGACTTTCGTCTTGGTCACTAGAATAATAAAACGTGCAAAACACGTAAAAAACATTGATAACAACTGCAAAAACAAAACCATTTTTTGTGGTTATACACACGCCATTTTGTAATTTGTTGCGCTTTTTATGAGTTAGTGTTTTTGTAAACCTGAAATCAGGCAGACTTGCGCGCACTGCTTCCACTGTGACCGGTTTTGCGCCATTGCTTCCAGCGTTGTGAGCCATTGGCATTCTTCATCTTTGGGTCCCCAGCCGGGGAGTCGAACGGGGCCAGCGATAGCCAGACAAGATATCAATTTCATACATTGTCGCCAGGTGGACGGTTGACCTCCACGCGACCTTTTCCAAAGTACCCCTACGTGCGCAAGCAGGGCGCGACGTGGGAAACGCTCGTTAGGCATGCGCAGGACGTGGCCAAACCATCTCAATGGACGCATCCAGACCACATCACAACGCTGAGCTTCCGCCTTACTCAAGACGCGGTGTCTAACGCCATCATTACGCACTCGGTGTTGTCAACGCACGCGGACAATCCTCCACAAACAGCTGCTGTTAAAAGCCGAAAGACGACGTATGTCGTCCACACGGATCAGCCAGGATTCGCATCCGTACAGCAATGTCTCGCGTTCACAGGCTTTGTAAACCCTTCCTTTTAGCGAGAGTGAAATGTCGCGACAGCGCCACAAATTTGTTAAGTTGGCAAACGCTGACCGGGCTTTAAGGATTTGAAGGGATACTTCTGCTCCAATATTGACCTCGGCAGAGACCCAGCTCCCTAGATAGATAAAACTATCCATGTGTTCGACTTGTGTGCCTTCGATGGTGAATTGGGGGAAGGGGTGCAAGAACTTTGCACTTGGTGGGAGCTAAGCACAAACCAAACTTAGACCCTTCAATCACCAAACGTTTAATGAACGATCGCATTCCACATGGGTCGTCACCGAGCAAGGCAATATCATCATCATGGTCTACGTCGGTCGCGCGATTATTTGGAAGAAGCTCGATGCGAAGTTCTGCAGGCACTCTAAACCTCCCAAAATGACACCATCGATCGCAACGTTGACATTGGGCATCCTTATTGCACGCCACTGGAGACAGGGAAGAGTGAGGAAGGCGTGTCATGGGATCCCACTCGGCGTGAAGTGTGGAGTTATAGCGCACGAAGTATGGCCACGTACATTACCGGAACTTCATCGTCTAGCAGGCAGATCCATAAAGCAGTTGAATCGCAGCCGGAATATTCAGGAAAGTGACAGTGCTGCGTCTGCGGTAGAGGTGATGATGACGCAGGATTTGGCGAAGAGTGTAAATTTGATCCACTCATCCTCGACCGTGGCGAAAACCAGCCTGCTCCTCCCGGTAGTGTGACACGAGTGAGGGGTAACCTGCGGCGTATGCTGGATGCTAGTAGCTTGGAGGCAACATATATCAGACTAATGCCCCTGTAATTGACACAAGAAGTGTGAGAACCTTTCTTGAAGATTTGTAACAATGATTGACTCTCCCTAAGATGAGGGGACCCTTCCTTCCTGCCAGATCTTCAGAAACAGGGACATAAACTGCTTGACGACTGCTTTACCGCCGTATATGAACAACTCTGGGGGAAGTTTATCTGAGCCGGCCGCCTTAAAGGACTACCGGAGACGAATCCCAGGACAAACCTCCGCTTCGGTTGGTGGTTCCAGGGACGCTGACCATGGCATGAGACTCGGTGTACTGACTGTAATGGTGGATGGAGAGGAAGTGCTCAGCCTATCTGTCCATGCGTCTTTGCAAATTAGTGGTTTGTGACCCGTACGCATCACAGATGACCTCGCTGATACCAGACCTCATGTGCCCAGTGGTCCGAATGAGCTGAAACAACACGGTTGTTTCCAGTGAGGGCGGCAGCCTCCATCACCAAGTCGCGTTGGGACCACCACAATTCCCGATCGCTGCGAAAGCTTCGTTTGAATTGTCTGCTGATAATACGGCGAACTTCATTCTGATCTGGGTTTACTGAGAGAGTTCGGCGGCAGTCGAACAGCGCCAGGAAACGCGCCCATATCCAACCCTTCAAGGGTTGATGAGATAACCCGCTGACCGATTACTCTGAAGTTAACATTGTTTGCTGCAAGAACTTCCAGTGATGTACAATTTCGGTGGACGGGACACAGGCTAATGTGCTTGTCAGTGGTAGTTAATAGTCTAGCTGAGCCGATGGACTGGCTAGCCTGTTAGTATCAAACTTACAAAGCCTCTATTTCTGACTTCCTTCAAATCGCATGCAAATGTTGGCATAGAACAGTGTGTGATCTGAATCGAGGTAGGTAAACCAAAATGACCCACAGTGCTGTAGGCTGCCACGCCATTTGAAACTGATTGCAATGTGGTCTATTTGAGACCAAGCCTGCGACGGTGGACTCCAGGTGGCACAGCGTCTCATCGAGTGCATGAAGTTTGTGCTTGCGAAAAATAGACTACTGTGTTTGCACAAACTGAGAAGCCTGGTTCCGTTAGCTGAACGACTCTCGTTAAGTGCATGATGACCACCCATGTGACATTCATCTGGTAACAGCCGACGGACACGTGCGTTGAAGTCTCCAGTGAGGACAATGACGTCCGACTTGGCGGCTTGGTGTAATGGCTGATGAAACTGGTAGTAAAAAATGTCCTTGTTCAGTTCAGAGCTACAACTGGTTGGCGTGTAAGCAGAAACTGAAAAACAGATTGCGCCTTTCAGCGCGATGTCTGTTAATCCTACATGAGCCTTGGAGGCGAAATGCACGTAGTCAGCTGTTAACTGGAAACCAATCAAGGAGTGCAGTCTCGGCTTTGTTGCTTAACGCCACACCAACGCCGGCCAAACCAGCGGAAGCAGCTTTTGCGTCGCCAGATAAACCTAAGTGGTATGTGGCTTCCTGGTTGGTCGGAAGTTTCAGTTTGAGCACAGTACTTGGGTCCTGTAATCGCGTTTCGGATAGGCAGCAGATATCAATGGCGAGGAAACTCAAGTACCTGCAAGCCTGGCCTGTTTCCCAATCTTCATAAGCGTCCGGAAATTGAGGGTTGCCAGCCAAAACGAAGATCGTGGTCGAAGAATAACCTCAGGCCGGACATAACGAGCGGCAGTGAAACCGGTAGCGAGGTCAAACCGAGGAAAACATGGATTATTAACAGAAGAATGATTGACGTGTAATGAAGATTTAGAAGCGACGGAGGCAGGAACGAGAGAATGCGAAATAGCGATGTAATCCATGTGTTCTGAAGCGAGCGCGATACTACCTGGTTGCCCAGGCCGAAGTAGGATGTTGACTTAGGGGACATTACCCCGAGCCTTTAACTCAATAGCCTACCCGCAAGGCAACGGGGTGAATTCAGGGAATCGCGCCCATTGGGAGCCGGTGACCGATTTCTCGGTTCATACGCCTTTCGTTTGGTAAGATACCAAACTGGAACCCAATCTTCTCCTGGATAACAGCAGTTGGCTGCTGAAATACAATGCTCCATTGGAGTGAAGCAAAGGACAGTCACTTTATTTAGTTGGGAGTCACATCCGCCACGTCGCAGTGTTGTTAAACGGACCTATTTGGCTTTTTATATGGGGAACGCTGGTCAGGCGAAAACCCACCACGTCCTGGAACACTGCCGCCGGACTATTCGCTGAAACGTGTAGATCTAGAACCACCCAGCTGTCACCACGAGGTTGTTCAGCGAGCCAGCGGTTAGAAGTTCAGTATTGGGTCTTGGAGTGCTCGCCGTATGTCTGGATTGCGACACGCAATCTCGATTGAGGCTACAGTTTGCTTTGGAACAAACTTATGCCATTTCGATCACTGGGATCCCATCGGGAGTAGAGAGTTTCGGAGCTGCGTTGTTGGGAGATAGAATCTGCGAAACATACTTTTTGTTAAAGTGCTCCACGAAAGATTGTCGTAAGTGATAACACCATTCCTGTATGTACATGGCCGATGGAAACCTTGGCCAATAGATCCCTCAATCACTACAGCTGTATTGTCCACATCCGCTTGGAGTCAAGTATCTTGAAGCATACTTACATCTGGCTTCTAGTATTCGGCATAGCATATCGTGCTCTTAATCACTTCTCTTTTGTTCATACTTGCTGAAATATTTGAGGTAAGCACAATAGGTATATTCTTGCTCCTCAATTTTTTCCTCCACAGAACAACCCTCTATCCTTCACGATGCTTTTTATTTGCATTTCTGTGCTGCTTGTGGATTCGCTACCGTTTATTTCTTATAGCTTGACCACGAAAAGCGGTGCTTTCTATTTCTGTAGAAACGCATAGGGATTTTCAAATATCGTAAGTTATCGTGGCCCTGATTATTGTATGCTTTGATGTAGAAAAAGAAAAAAAATTGCCGATGGAATGAGTGTAACTAATGCCGCGGATGGAACATAAAAACACGGTCAACTTTATAGGCCTAGTCTCATTCCATTGGTGTCTTAGCTCGGATAATGCTGTTATCATTCCTTCCGCGTCATTTAATCGTTTTTTCTCAGACGTATTTCATAATTCGTCCTTTCTTCATTTTCACGCGTGATGAATGGTTAACCTCTACATTGTTCCCACTCACTTTTGCACACCTATTTCCTTAGCTCACTCGGTCCGATTTCACGTGCCACCCTGCTCAACCTAGACCTCTATATTTTTACTCAGCCACAACACAAATATACTCGCATTCACTTCCGCACCAATCTGTGTTTGCATCCAACATAGGTGTTGGACGAAGAGGATCCCAGCATTTGGCCCTTCAGTATGGTCACGGCAACCATACTGTTGACACGCCATCCTCTGTACGAACCGACTGCTTTTGCCAATGCCACGTCAGTCGCTGCCACTACAGTGGTTAGCACCAGCATTCTGCCAGAGGCCCACTATGCCAGTGGCGGACGCAGTGACTGGTCAGTTTATGACAATTCGTCATCACAACTCTACCCCGCCGCGGACATCAATTTGGACTCCGGACCAATAGATTACGGAGACTTCGAGGAAGAAGACAATGTACTGTTTCTGCTTGTTTGCTTCCATCCTTTTCTCCATGTCTGCATTCATTTCTATCCTCATCAGCTGTCCGTAACTGTCACTCTAGGACTTTTCTGGCCGCTATTATACTGTCCTTGTTGTGAAATGTTCTCTGCCGAATTGCTTTTAAGTGAGCATTCTAGTACCATTCCGATTGTTGCTCTCTGTGACCAACCGGTTCCCTATTTGAGCATTCTAGACAGATTTAGCCGGACTAAGGTTTACTTAGATCCTCACCGTCTTTACGTTCCTATCAACCGACGCGTTCAACCGTGTAAACGATGCGGCTGTCTTCCATGTGTGATTCTCCGTTGCGCTTTGACTCCGTCTGAACCACATATTGTACTTCTCGGGGAGCCGGCGGTATTCCTTCTCTTCGATTCTAGTGCTTAAAATGACTTATGGTGGCAACATTTGTTCACCTCTGATGAGCTGCTTCTCGGTTAAGTCACACGGAAGAGCAATCAAATCAACTTGTCACCTGAGAGCGAAACTCTTATGCACCTTATTGCCTAGGACTTCTCCGCACAAGTGCACCCTCCTATCCGGTGTAGTACAACAAGGTTACTACTGTTAATCGACTAGTAGCTGAGCACTGATCCCCTGAAAGATGAAACGGCCGTACAGTGCTTTTCCCGGGTGTGTATTGTTTACCGGACTCAGTCCAGTTATGATGAACTAACATTATCCCGTCGAAACCCCACTTACTTCTTAGTAATCAGTACTTCTTATAATGCCTTCAGTTAATTGTTGGCTTAATTTCCACAAGTGGTTGCTTTAGGGGCCTACTCTGTCTCCTGCGCGACAGTAATACGCAATTCACTGAATAGTAAGCTGTGAGAGGATTGTCCTGTTCTCCGAGCCGGGCATTTCTGTTGCAGACGTTCTGTTACCAGACTAGGCAACATCTCCAGTGCGACTATTCGATCCTGATTCGCGAGGGTAAGCTGTGTTATGTCACAACTAGTAACTCGATCGAGGCAGCAATTACTGTCCCCGTAACCAGGACTTCCCAACCATGGATGAGCAATGGCGCGGTCGCGAGCTCGAGCCCTACAAGGAACAGGGGCAATGCACACTGATTCCGAATCCCGAAAGGATGAAACGGCCGTACGGTGCCTTTCCGGGTATGTCATGGCTGTCTGACTGAGTTCGGTTGCAGCGAATTCAGTTTATATCATCCAGCTCCCCTTGGAATCTAACTGCTTTCCCTATTTCCACTCTAATACTTGACGTCGAAGGTGCTGTAGAAAACAGCGACAGAGGATGTGTCAGGGAGAGAAAATCCTTTTAATTTACCGCTATAATGACCTACATTCGGGATAATATGACAAGACAATAAAGTGTCATTGTTGCATAGCGATTAGTGTTACTGGATACTGATATAATCTATCTTGAGGCTGCTATTAAGGACGACTCTTGTTTACGTGTAATCGCATTTGCACCAACAACGCTTTTTCCACTTTCATTTTCTATTCTGATTCCCATTTTATGCGTATTATCATTCACTGTTTTTCGGTCAACATCACTCTGGATGCTTTGTAGTGCGAGCGCCTAACCTTCCCAAAGTTTGCAATTTTAGTACGCCACTGTTTGCGCTAGTTATACTCTGTGTGCTCACCATTTACGTGTAACGTTGCATTGGTCCAGGTACGAGCGGGTGCCTAGCCACTTTTGATTCTCTCTCACCAGGATCAGTACGCTTCGAAGTCGGGAAAATTACGGAAATCCACTACTCCTGTTTGGGACAAGAGCAAAAGGAAAAAGCCAGTTCGCAAGACAAAACAGCGTAAGCAAGAGCAGTGGAAACTGCAGCAACGAGGAGAAAATCCAGCGGGCGACAAAATTCGTGCCGTTTCAGCCATCAAACACGATCCACTTGAAGAACAAAATTCTGATGTTGACGCTCCTGAGCTTCTACTTGGTAAGCCGTTGATTATATTGCTTGATTCGCAGCTTGTTTTCCTTTGCCCCGAATTGCCTTCACATCTCGTTCTTTTCTCTTATCTTCTCCTGTTTTCTCTTGCTGACTGCATTTTATCAACGCCATTATGGGTTCCATATACGCGCAAGCTAAACAACTTTGCGGTTCAAACAACTATGGGATAGGTTGCGCGGTGATGCTGACAACTGACACACGGTCGTGTAGCGTTTAGGGCTTTGGTTATCAACTCACAAGCTTAGTTCATTGGGAGTATGCTATTCCCACCTCTTCTACGCTTATGCCGATTTCGCACTCGCTTGCTTGTCCACTCTCATCTTGTGACGTAATGACCGGCTGCTACTGTCGATTTCCCTGTGTCCACACAATGCGCCTGTGCACTCCGAAATAATGATATAAGTCACACTACATCCAGCTTTTGATTTATTTATAACTCTGAACGAACTCTTCGAACGCCACTCATCTCACACTTGTGAGTTATTGCGGTATTGGCTTATTTGCTTTAAGCCACACCAGCACACGACCAGTTGGGGCGTGAGATTGCGGACGAAACCTTTTGCGAGACTACCACACATGAAGCTACCTTCCCCCTAACATTTCCTTGCTCGAGTACATTTAACTCTCAATCACACTGAAAATGCTCTTGGGAACCGACTCGAACAAATTAGACAAATATATATTTGCATAACACAGAAGGAGGATGAGTGATGGTAGATGCGCGCATTTCGTATCATCTCGTCAGTACCATTAAGATAATAGGAAATAACGGTACTGAGGAGACGATACGAAATACATGCATCTATCGTAGTTCATCTTTCTGTGACATCCAAATTATCAAAGGGAACGAACTGTTTTAATTGTCCATTTTATACGACCTCCCTGTACAACTTGTTCAGACCACTTACAGCACTTTGTCTCGTGCCATCGAGAAATATGCTATTCATTCTATAAAAATAGTGCTTAGTAACCGGGTTTCCGCGCGTACTCGTACTGCATCGTTATTACTGTCTATTATTTTCTAGAATATACCACTTTAGTTACTTTCAACGATATGTTTATGACCTTTCTTGTCCATTGCCCCTTCACAATTACCGGATCCAGATGACTCTTCTGTCACAGGATCGTCGAACCACATGACTGGTAATACGGAGTTGGAAGACATCACAAGTCTTCAGGTAGCTGCGAATGACGCTGATGTTCACACCACCGATCGAACGTCTAACAGGAAGAGCAGTGACAACAGCTCTGCGTCCAAAGGCGTTCGAAACCCCTCAAAGTCCCCCAGTGAACCTAAATCCTCCTCCGAACCTAAACCTCATTGTATGCATCTGGTTCATTGTCCTTTCTTCCCCGTGGTGAGTTAGTTTTCTCATCTGGATCTTTGTTGGTTTATCAACGACGTAATGGGTACCCTCTGTTAGTATCGAAACCTAGCTTGATTCGCATCGTAGTCACCTTGATCACAGGCAGCGTCTTCCCTGGAATACGCGGAATCTACTTTGTGTTGCTGGCATCTAACATAATTCTCTGCTACCAATTCTATCCTCATTTAGGTTCAGTTGATTATACACACGGTAGTAACGTGCAAGTCAGTGGATAATGAGCGGAGCTATATCACATCTAGTAACTTATTCACGACAGTCGTTGCCTTCCCCCGTAGCTCAGTAGTCCTAATCACAGACTGGAAACAGTCGAGTTGCGGGTTCGAGCCCTACAAGGGTCAGTTGAAATGTGCACTGCTGACGATTCCCGAAAGGGTGAAACGGCCGTACAGTGCCTGTCCGGGTGTATGATGGCTGTCCGAGTGAGTCTAGCTGTGAGAAATTTCTACTCATACCATTCAACTCCCCCTACTGCTCTTTTCTAAATGAATAAATGAAGTTTATTTTTGATTCCTGCTGGATATGCTTGGGTAGGCATGACCACTTCATTGCAACAGTTATATATAAAATACCGTAGGTGGGTATTTATCGGCTGGTGTGCGGTATTCCACATTGACTAAATTCGTTCCTATCGGTTTTACTTAAGAATAGGCCTACTCGAAAACTTCAGCTTTTAGCGGAATAGTATCTCCACCGTCATGCATCACGTGCGAACCGTTGCCTGTAGCACTATCAGTCATCATCATACTGGACGCTGGCTATTCGGGAGATTTGTGAACTTGCTGGATTACCTAAGAAAATTCCCCACTGGTTGCTCCGAGCACCATATGACCGGATGCAGCGTTAATACGCTCGTGATAATACGAAGTCTGGGTGCTGACAAGGAAGCTTTGCGGGCCAGTAGGGCTTAAGAAGCGAAAGCGAAGGTAGCTGCGGGCAATTACTCGAAATTCTTCCCACTGATCCGCAAGACTGGTTTCAACAACTTGTACAGGAATGAGACAATCAAGCACAATATCAGTGCACCAATTTACAGTAGGGAACACCATCAGGTTTCTTGGGTATAGCACTTTCGGAAGCGGATCAGCTAGGTCCCTGCTCCTGGATTTCGTCCTGTTCAAGTGGCACAGGCTGAGGTCTTTAGAAGCTCCGTCGGAGGCTGATGTTCGTAAAACGCTCACATCTCTCAATCATTTTCATGTTGCTTGTCCAGATCCCCTTTCACTTGCACTAGTTAAGGATAGACCTGAGATCACCTGCAAAGCATTGACTCATTTATTTGAACAGGTTTAAAAGGAAGAGACCATCCGAGCTAACTAGACTAGATTGATCAACTTGGCAATATATAAGAACGGAAGTACCGTTGGATTTGCTTTTCATCAGCCCATGCTAACTTTCCTGCGCTAATTGTTCCATCTTGACTGGTGCTCGGTGAGCGCTGCTTCAACTGAAGGATAACCTCGCCGTCTGTACTAACTGCAGCGTTATCATCCTGATACCGGTTATGATAGATTTCTTGGTCCAAATGCTCGTTCATCATCTTACTGCTAAACGGGAATGCTGGATGAGGGTAGAACAGACAGGTTTCCGTCCGGGACGAAGTTGTGTAGACCAGATCTTCACTCTACGGAGTGTGCTAGAACAGCGTCGCACATACCTCAGGCCGACTGTAATTGTATTCCTCAATATCAAGAGTACGTACAACTTAGTCGATAGTTCCATTCTGTTTGACATGTTTGCTCAAATATACCACCAAATATATAAACTTTTGTGTTCCTTGTTCTCGAACAGTGCAAGTTACGTTAGTGTCTACGGTTAATTGTCGAACTCCTTTTTGATAACACCTAACGACCATTAGGTTTGCCCAACTTTCCCATCCTTCTTCAACTTTACCGTCCATGTCATCATGGAGGGTTCCGTCATGAAGTCTCATAATGCGGACATCGAAGGGCTGATTAGTCGAATCTTAGTTGATCTAGGTTATGCAGATGATGCCGTCTTTATTGCTTGACAATTACGAGGCGGCAAGTTACCGAAAGGTTAGGGCGTCTTATTTGTAATCCGAAGGTCGTTGGTTGAAGTCGGCGTAGGTCCGAACGATCTCGTTCCGCTGATGGTGGTCGTGTGGCAGCGAGGCGTCGGTGCGGCGCACCGGTATACTGCTTATGCCCTTTTGAATAGACATGTTTGACATAACAGCGAATGTATGTGTATGGGTGTATATACGTATGTACTTGTGTATGAATGTAGCTGTGTAGCTTGTATTTGTGCATGTGCTGCAGTGTGTGAGAATATTAATCGGAGCTGATGTACCGGCCGTCCATTGGCAACTAGCGCGGTGTCTCGGCGAAAGGAATCAACCGTTTGCTGCGAGAAGCCCCTTGGGATGGATACTGATTGAGCCGGCAGAAAGCAGAAGAGCGTCGTTCGCCTCTATCAACCATATTCGGTGTGATCATGAACCTGTGCAGAAGAAATGTGAATCTGGCGGTTGGTGCTCGTGGGATGGTTTCCCTGAGACGAAGGCCGGATCGGATACAATATTTGCTGGTGTCCATGACGTGGGTGTGCAGTGTGGATGCTGGATGCCTCTTACTGTGTCTTCGACTGGAGATGCGAATCCGATGGTGGTGGGTGCAATTGTGATAAATTGTGGTGTGATGTCCCCGACAGAAGTTGGAAACTCGCATACAATGGAGACCTGTCCGTCTCAGGCGCAAGAAGCGATGGCGGATTTGGGGTGTGAGAAGCGTGAGTTGCAGTCTGCGTCGTGGTCCCCGTTACAGTTGACTGAGCGCGACCGATTGTCGGACAATTTTGATTTGATAGTAAGCAAGAAGCTGTTGTGTGAGTTGGTGGACCATTTTGTTCAAGTTTGTGCGGGTTATGTGGATGGATTACCCGAGCGTGCAACGTTAGAGTCGACGTTGCGTGATATGCTGTACATGTTCAGTGATATAGTTACGCTTGTCAATGCGTGAGCTTTGGGGTATGGCTACGCGTTGCACTAATTGTATCGGAGTGGCATGTGCAGAAGTTCTTGAGACCGATTCTCGTCAGGCGTACGAGTCCATAGAGGTGCTGGATTGTTTGAAGTGCTCTGAGGCGTCTCATGTATCGCTTGGTGTGCGAGTGGCCGGTCAGACGCAAGTATTGTTTGATATGGCTGGCGTGTTTCTTCAATTGCAGATTGTGTTGAGTAGAGTTGGAGTTGATTTACTGACACTTGATACAGAGAACAAGAGTTGGCTATCGTTCATCACGCAGAAGTTGGGGTTGCGTGCGACCTGTACGCCAGTGTGTGCATCGGAAAGTACGTTAAGCGAGGAGTTGATTGCGCCTCGGTCGGATTACGTTCGAGTGTGTGAAACTGTGGTGGCTAGTGAAGCGTCTTGTGCGTTTGTTGCAAAGTATGATCGTGTGTGCGATATGAGCACGAAATTGGGTCTTGTGAGGCAGTCTGTGTGCTTTGCGCTTTTGGAGAATGAAGATTTGCGCGCGGAGATTGAGGTTGCTCGAGGGAGTGTGTGAAGTTTCAGTCCCGCCATGACGGTGGTGCAGGGATTGAGTTTGTATTCTTTGGGTCCAGTGCGGGATTGGACTTAGCGCAGGCGGTGTGTTTACGGATGTATTAACTGTGGCGGTCTCTCGAGGTCAGAGTAGTAATATTTTGTCACAGCTGTTGGATGCTCTTGATGCAGCGTGGCGCACTAGTTGTTACCTGTTGCCAGAGAAGGAATGCGAATTGATGTTGTTGTAGCGTGCTCAAAGCAGAAGAGAGTTGTTACATGCGACACGAAAGTTAGAGTGCATGGAATGGAGGCGAAGTGTTCGGGATTTGATGACCTATCCCGTAGACTCGTTGCTTGATGAGAGTGAGATATTCGGTAGAGACGCATATGTGTCTGACAGTGTGAGTGAACGATTTGGGGCAGTGTTGGTAAGCGGGGTAGCCGAGGATAGATCCATTGATATTGTGTGCAAAACTGTGCAAACTGAGGTTGATGAGTTGAATTTTCTTCTATTGGAACACCTACACCCGAGAGAGGCGTGTAAGTGGGCGCGAGCATCACCATCTGGTGATGTGGGTGACAGTGGCTTACTGGTTGACTTGTAGTTACGTGCGACGGATAAATTGGCAATTGATGTTGCGGTGAGGACCTCGGCGCTGTGTTTTGTAGGTGATACCAGTTCAAACGTTGGTGGCTTCGCGGATGTGTTACTTGAGGAAGGAGTGAGTGAGTCATTGTTTGTGATGAGAGTATTCATTAGAGTTGAAGCGTTGTTGCCGTTGCCTTCACTGATGGTTGGAGTCGTGCGAACGATAGTTCACTTAAGAGAGACATGCAGAAACCTTGTTTGCTCGAGGATATTGAAGTAGGTAACGAGGCATTTGAGAGCCCAGCTGAGACGGAATAGGGCAAGAGCAACTAGCGCGGGGGAAGAACAGTCAAGCATGAGAAAGGAATTTGGTGGGGAGCGTAACGGACAAATCGCAGCCTGTCGGATTCAACCGAAGCATGCCACAGATGCCGTCCGTAATTCCCTTGTTTTTCTGCACCGAATTTTCATCCAGACAATCACACGTTCCCTCTTTCACATGCCCTATCGATTGTTTCTCATCCCTTTTATCCTTCCATCGTATCCTCCTTTCCGGACACATGACATTGTCTGGGTGAGTAGGCTAGACTCATCCACCTACCCACCTGTATTCCATATGCACTGTTCATTGGATGATCGACTGAGGATTGATCACTTCGTTGCAAACCACTCTGAATGACATTGGAACCGCTTCGCTTCGGTTTGCTTATCGGTTGACCGTTGCTGTTGTTTGCCTGGTTTGACAGCAAGTTGCATTTGAGAATCAAATTAGTGTAGATATTTTGGATTGCATCATGTTTGAGGTTTGTTACTAAATTGTCCAACCATTTGTAAATAGCGCCATAGCTCTTCCGGCTTTGACTTTTGGATTGATCCGGGTGCTAAGTGTTGCTCAAATTCCACGACCGATTAGTCGATAACACTCATTTTCGAGAATCTGCGACATCTGTGACGTCAGTCTGAGAAGCCATGTGTACAAGGCCACAGTGGTGGTCGTCCTACTCTATAGGAGTGAGACTTTACCTCTCCGATCTGAGGTTCTGGAGCGCCTTCTAGTCTTTGATCATCACTGGCTGCAGAGATTTGTGGACCTCGGATGGCACCAGCGTGTCGGCAATGATGATTTGCGCTGGCGAATGCAACTTAGATAGTAAGGTTGGTACATAACACTGCTGAATAAATTCCGTTGGCTTAGACACGTGCTATGTACTCCGTGTCACCACTCACTGTGGAGGACTTTATTTTGTTTGTTGGAAGTTAGACCGCTCAAAGCTCGAGTGGGACAATACTGAACTTCGCAGTGGGAAATGAGCTCACTGACGACTAACATGAGTGCTGTTGTTCCATGTTACCCTGGTGTTCACACAAGCAACCTCCTACTACGCTGGCTCGCATTCGGCATCAGTGGTGCGATTGCTGTCATTTCCTAGTCGGACTGTCTGTTTAGAATGTTTGGAGATAGTTCATCACGGTCCACTCTCAGTCAGCAGGTTTTGGCTAGTCTGGAAAACACCAGGCACCGGTGTTTCGACCTTCTGGGTCTCGTCAATGTTGCCTCTTCCAGCGGACCCCTGCCGGGTTCCGCTCCCAAGACTCCTGGATGCCTGCAGCTAGTGCCATCTCGCCATGGGTGACAGCCGTGGACCTGTAAGGTTGACTGGTACAGCCCGGCTGCTCTTCTACTGCCATGCCAGTTATAAACTGTGCAGAGGACACCAGTTAGCCCCACGAGCTAGGACTTTCCGCATAGTGCCTTGGTACAACGCAAATAATTAGAAGCTATACAGACAGATTTTAGGATGTGCTTCGTGCGTCGCGTCATCGTGAGGCAGTGATGAAAGCCTCCTTGTGACCATTTGTTAACAAGGTGCGGGTGCTTGACCATTATCCCTCTTATTAGTATTCGTTGTTCAGAACATTATGATGACGACAGCCGGCCGTTTATAGCTGTGTGTTGTTGGTATGATTTAAACGTCTTGGTCTCAAAAGTTTGCTTAGTTCGTTTTAGGTTTTAGACTAGGTTTCTGTTCCTCCTCCTCTCGTGTTAATCTTCATTGCCTATATCATTCTGATTGTACAGCGACAAAGCATCAATTCAAGTGGCTGATACACTGCTGTTATTGATGAGCATTGATGTGAGATAAAGCAACTAGATACACTGGTCTTCACGCTACTTGTCGGGCTTATCAACGGAACTGCACTGATCTTCTTTCATCTGTGCTTCCAGTATCTGTCAACCTCACGTCTCTGGTGTAACCGGCATCATTCTTCTTTGGCGGTTCGCGAAACCTGTCTGTTTCAGCGTTCAGTCTTCTAATTTAGCCAAGTGGCCTTAATCCTATTCTCATCGGGCCTACTCTGCTGTTTTGCCATCCTTTTCCACTTAGTAAAACTCATAGATATCTGTCATAATGCTTGAAGATCCTGTGTTTTACTGTTGCTTCATTAATGTTGCGTTCATTGCAGGACAAGTTTGAGGGATGGTGGGTATATTTGGTCGATCGTAAGACTCGACAACTGGTCACCAGACCGGTCTATGTGGCCACCTTACAAACAGTAGAGGAGGTAAGTCTTCCTTTCCGACACTTTATCGTGCTAGTGATTCAATGTGCTTTTTTGTTCTCTTTTTCCTTATTTATTCATCACATTTGCTTGCAACTTCTGTTCCAGGTTCCTTTGCGTTTCGTTGCCCCGTCAGCCCCAGGATCGTACATTTACACGTTGTACGTACGTTCCGATAGCTACGTGGATAGTGACTTTTCCGAAACCATCCGAGTGAGCCACACGCTTAGTAGCAGTCATCTCTTGATTTATCATGCATTGATCTTAATTTGTTTAAGAATTTTACCAGTGTGATGAAAAGCTGCTACGCGCTTTATGTTTCTTCAATTGTTTTGCCTTTTCCCTCGCGTACGATACTCGCAAAACCCTCCTTGTGGACAGCAGTGTTTCGTCGACCCACATTTTTTCTCCTGGTCTGCTTTTCACTTGTCAATAGAACATCTGTGGATTATTGACCATCAGTCGATTCAGTTCGTTCTCACTTTGCCTATTCTTCTCATCCAGTTCTCTGTATCCCCTCTACCCGAGCGAATAGTTCATTACCTGAAGGAACAAGAGGAAGCACAAACCGATTCTAGTGCCTCCAGTTACCGGGGAGATTCGGACGATGAGGGCGATCTTGCCGAGGAACCGTCTGAGAATGACGACGATAAATTGAATGCCGATGCCAGCGACATGGACGAGGAGGAAAATGGTGTCATAGACGAACAACGTTTATTTGCCTATTTAGCCAAGGCTTAAATGTTCTGCTCTCCCTTTTCGAAATTGCATTTGCTATGCTGTTTATCTTCCCATGTCCAAAGCAAGCTTGAAACGAACCCCCTACTTGAACGTATCCATGGCTTTTACTCAGATGCCTCCCCAGATGCTTGCTGTTGGTTGTGGCGTCTTGGTTCACTTGCAGTGGTTGGTCGGTTCTAGTGAGAAAAGATTTGGTATCATCACTGTTCCTTGGCCTAACTGCAACATGAAGGTGCGATGCTCACGCTAAGGTGCATTGCACTCTGCGTCAGTGTACAGAGGAGTGCTTGTACAGGAGCGCGGTCCTGTGTCAGGTGAGTCACGTCCTCTACGCGTGAATGGACTCCTTGGCCAATTTTCCACTCCGGAAGCATTAGCCAGGAAAAGTCATTGTTTTGAAAATAATGAGTAGTGAGGTTTTAATGTTACCATGACCGATTAAACTTCTCCGAGTCAACTCAGCAGACGAAATCCCGTTTCCCTTGAAGCGATCCATAGAGTCGCAATGTGTTGTCAAAACCCGAGCAACCTTTCTTCCCCAAGCATGTCAGCCATCAGTAGGTTTGGCTCGCCGCCTCAAATGCCTTCATGTAGCGCCGTTTCACTGCCTACCACAATTTGGGCTTGATCTTGTGTGCCTTTACTTTCTGGAAGGTCAGTGAGCCATTGCTCCAGGATGCGTGTAAACAGTTTTCAGCATATTGACATTTACTCCGGTGCTACTAGTATGCTCTTTTTAACTACGGATATTGCGGTCCTCAGTCGCCCGTCTAGATATATTTCTGCTCAGCTCCAAATAACTTTTCTCGCACCGTCGAGAAATAAGAGATTTGTTTATTTACGTCTATGCGTTAGGTATTTGCTTCATCTACCATATCCCACAGCCGCTTCAATTCAACCTAGCTTTTAACGCCGTGAATCGCGGCCGAGTTAAGTTATGAAAACAGTGAACATTGGCGATGCTGCCAATCGCCTGAATGCCTCTCGAAACGTTTGACCTGACGTATAAGTCGACGATCATACCAATACTCTCCGTTTTTTTCACTCCCCGAAGAATTTTCCTCCTCCGTATACAAACCAATGACGTCCTTTGCTAAATGTTGCCTCCATGAAGGTACAGATGTGCTTTTTTAATTTTACCCAATCTCACTTAATGACACAGTAACTATTGCAAACTGGCCTAGCGAACGAAACCAATCGATAAATGTATGAACTCTTACGAAATTCCAGCTGACTGCGGCGTGGTAGGGAAGTCCGTACGGTGCAGTCATACTTGTCGCCCATAACAACATGCGGATCCAAAGGTCATCTATGGGATCACAGTGAAATCCCAGCCATGACTTGGACTACTTGATGAATTGCACAAATCCAACAGATGGGGTCATTGACCTACTCTTTGTAACACTCGCTGTCAATCCAGTTATTCTGTTTCCCCATAACATCATTTCTGTCCATTAATATCGATTTACTGCCTCCTTATTTGGCCACGATTTCACCAGAAACAGAAAATGAGAAAACATATATATCTTAATCACTGCAAATGTTACGATTAAAATTCCGATTCCGCAACCATTTCTCCGTATTAAATCAAAGGGATTAACACTTGCCGATACTGCAGGTGGGCACCTAAGCGGAAATTCGACAAAAATTCAGTCTGAGCACTCCCAAATTTTAAAATCGGTCAAGGGGCGTGCATTGAGCTGCGACGATTCGGTAATTCATGTAAAATTATATGAACTCACGCTTCCCTCCCAAGAGATAGAGTGCGGTGACCGTATCTTTTTACACTTAGTTATGCAGTCTTCCTTGACTTGCTGACCGCGCTTATTTGTGCTGCCAGCTGAGGGGTTCTGGATTATCCCGGATGCAGTGTTGCAAGACGTATTTGGTTTTCGCCTGACAAGCGTTCTCCCCATAAAATACTACAAATGTCTATTTAACAGCACTGTGGCGTGGTGAAGGTGAGTAACCACTGCCCCTTACTTCAATATTGTGCAACATTCTACTCCATCAGACTGCTGCTTCAAGCTCATTTTGTGTCCCTTTGGCCATTGATCAAGTGAAAGGCGTATGGCATGAATGGATGGTCAACGGTTCCGAATGGGTGCGACTTTCTGACTTCGCTCCGCTATTTGCGTATTAGCTATTTGGCCAAAGGCTCTAGGTTTGTCGCGTAAGACAACTCTTCACGTCCGCCTGCATAAGCGGGTATATATATATATATATATATATATATATATATATATATATATGACTTTTAAGGGTCAAGAGAAGCACCACGATTATTGTGGAGTGAAATGATAGTGGCTGACCACTGCTTCTATGCTATACGTTTCGTCAGGTACCCGACTTTCAAAAATAGACTTCAATTAACACAACTCTCTTCATGCAGGGTCTGGACGCTTTGTAAGCCCGAGTCGCAGCGCTGCGAGTTTTGGCATGCACCTTACAGTTTCAAAACGTGTAGTACTTTACGATATTAGGTGGACTCATTCGAGGTGCTCGAGGCGTTTACTTGTCTGTGTGAGTGAGTTAACAACGCGGTCGCCGCACACCTTATTACTCTGACTTGATGCTTCTTAAATTCCTTTCTACTTCTTTGATCAGCGACCTGGCCTATACACACCTAGTACATTAGGAGATCGACCGTGTTTAGCTTATGGCTCGAGGTATTACTCATACCCTGCAGGACTGCTTTGTGAGTACTGTCGAAGTTCATCATGTGATATTTTGTCACACTAAGTTACCTGTTGAAATGAAGGCGTCCCTACTTTATCCGTCCTTCGCTTATCCTTTAAATAGTTTACTATACTGCATCTAATTCAGGAAAATTCAAACAAGCAGATGGTAAGATGGGAGAAGAGTGTGCCAACAAAACTCGCTGAAACGCTGAGCCGAGTTGCTGTTTATCGTCTTCTCGAATGTGATAGCCGGCACCTGCCATATCAGTGGTTACGCGACCTGCCGGATGTAAATTTAGTGATGCAACCGGTAGCGCCTCTGCTTTCACTCTGTAATTTCCGACTCCACTGTTGCGTCTGATGCTTTCAATTTTTACCCACTCCTCATCAGTTATCGCTTCCGCTGTAAGTATTGTTTTGGCGGCGTAAGTAAAGGCGCTTGATTCCACCGCACTGGTTATGCTTGCTCAACTAATTGGGGCTGAACACGCTGAGCAGTTCTATTACCGCTAGTGGCCAGCGAATTTGCGTATTGGATTCAGGAGCGAGTCGAAAAAGAAGAAAAACGACCGCCTTCAGCGTCTGTTTTAACATGACAACCACTTGTTTGGTGTGACTGAATTGAAACTATCGATAATGGAGCTAAAGTTTGGAGAGACCGTATCTTGGACAATATTGTTGGTTTTATTCTGCCTCCTTGCCCGGTATATCGAATTAAGTAACAGCGACTTCCGCGTAGGTGATATATCCTTCATCTTAAAGGCTAGTTGAAGTTATGCGTACATACATTTACATGATTTGGCGGCGTACGTATCCGGATTTGCCTGTCACTGTGGCCTCCATGGGGACAGTCACAGGACGCCTGCGCCTACAGAGGGACCATGGGTGGCTTGCGCTGCACCACACACCCCATATCCGGTGTAAACCCAAAGGAATAAGACCGGGTGGCATGTGAATGGGAGCCACGTTTCATCAACGGAGCTGGCCCACACTCCTTCAACAAGCAGAACGGAAGCATTCCGGCCTAATTTGTAAATCATACACACCAGACGTACACGAGGTGGTGGCTGAACCGTAGCCCGTTCCACACAGGATGGAACCGCTCTTTGAGCCTAGCACCGTCACGATGACAGTGCACCCTGTCCTCTCCAGTAACGACCAATTGTCTCCTGGAGCCAGTATGGACGAGGTAGTGGATAATAGACAGGTAGCAACCTTGTCAACATTCACATCAGGCGCAGCCACGTCGGGGAGCTCAAGCAACATCTACTTCTGAAATGCAAGATTACTCATCACGCAGGCAAACGTACCACATACGCCGCCTTATTGGCCTGGATTAGTAAATCGAATGGGAGCGTAGTCATGGTGCTTCTATTCCACGTGCAGTAGTGCCTTCTCCTGCACCTGAGCAACCACCCTTTATAGTAGTCCACGGAATTCGCATTGATCAAAATTTGACTTGGATTCGCAACACCTGTAATCTACATGAGTTTGTCCTAAACTCACCTTCTTCATGTTCTGATAATGTTATTTTCGGTTTGCCTGAGTGCCGTTTCCATGCACTAAGTTGATCGTACGAAAGCGGTATGAGTATTCTCGTCGAATTCATTCGACGTGTCAGCTTAGTCCTTCAGCGTGAGATAACGGTTGACATACCAAAGGTCCTTGGTTCGAGTTACAGTACTGCAGTGTTACGAACGGACATTTTTTTCACACTTGTGTATGGACTACCATAAACTGGATGGAGAAACAATAACCCTCGTGAACCATAACACTACGTACGTGCAGGAGTTTGGCTTGAATGAAAGAATAACAGCCATTTTCCTTTAGTTTTAGAAAATCCCTCGTGGAATTATAAGTAGCCAATACGACTGTCAGTGGTTAGTTAGCGTTTGGATCTGAACCTAAACGGCAGCCTTAAGTTTGGTCAAAAGTGTGGGTATTGTAGGATTAGTTAATACTAGTCCGAGACGGTCCGCGAATGTAAGCGCGGATATCAGAACGCAATTGGAGTCGGACACAGCGGACTGTATTCGATGGGCTACAAGAAGACGCGGACAGATGAAGCGAGACAAGAGCGAACACGTGAGCGCGGGAACTTACAAGGCGGTCGAGTGTCGAGCCGGTTGTAAGGAAGGTTAAAACAAGAAGGAATAATGTACAGTCGGTTAAGAATTAAATTGTACATGAAAGACAGCAGTTAATTTTTTGGGCGCTACAGTATCAACAATAGATTGAAACAGATATGAAAATACGGAAGCAAATGCCATCAGTATGGTCATCAGGTAGAATGATGCACAACTAAATATACCGTAAAACACAGATGACTTATGATTCCTGTGTATTGTAGATGCTGTCTGCTATAAGCGTTAGTAGACGAAAATATCATACATTTCCTGTTGGCCCCCTTGAC